GCAACCTTAGGTGTATGTGGCTGGCGCCTTAGCCGCTTGAGCCACAGGCGCCGAGCCTCTTTCAAAACTCTTAAATTAGCACTATCCACACCTCCGGCACTGGGCTTACCCAATGTTTATAAACCTTTCCATCTATGTTGCCCTGAAAACAATGGAATTGCTGCTGGCATTTTAGGACAGGCTTTTTCCTCTCAGATCCACCCTATAGCATATTTTTCATGTCAATTAGATCCCATGTCTGCAGGCACGCCCCCAAGCCTACGTGCAGATGCAGCAGCCCCCTTCCCCCCCCCTTAATTGACAAAGCCAGCACCCTCACATGTGGTCCCCCTATTCATCTGCATGTTCCCCATGCTGTGTCTACTCTCTTTACAAGTCCACAAAAACACAGCATCTCTCTAGTAGAAGGCAGACCACCTACGAGCAAGCCCTACTAACCAACCCCTTCATTATCTTACACCACTGTAACACCTTAAATCCAGCTACACTCCTACTTCTCCCTGATGATGGAGACCCCCACTCCATCTCACGTGATTGCTATACAGCTGTTGATATGGTTTCAAAACCAGGAGAAGATCTCTCAGACATTCCTTCAGACAACCCAGACTTAATTCTCTTTTGTGATGGCTCTTGCAAACATGATTTCATAGGTAGTATAATAGCTGGTTATGCTGTAGTTTCCCTACATGAAACCCTGGAAGCATGCTCCCTACCTACTATAAAATCAGCACAAGCTGCTGAACTTACAGCCCTCACTGGAGCCTGCACACTGGCAGAAGGAAAATCTGCCACAATTTACACAGACTCCAAATACACCTTTGGAGTCTGTCATGCAGTCGGCACGATTCGGAAGTCTCGTGGTTTCTTAATGTCAGCTGGCACCCCTATCGCCAGAGGGCCTATAATTGAGTCCCTATTACAAGCTATTCACCTCCCCTCTAAAATTGTTATTATTCATTGCCCAGCCCACACTAAAGAAACAGAGACTGCATCTCTAGGAAATAATAGAGCAGACAGAGCTGCAAAATATGCCGCCAACGATGGTCACCCCCTATCCTTTTTCCATTCCTCCCCTTATCCTTATCTGACTTCATTAATCATCAGATTAATACTCCACAATCTGCAAAAGATAAATGGACACATAATGGGGCTAAACAGTTATCAAATGGATTATATATTGGACCAAATGGACTCCCCATAACCCCCTTTCTTTTTTTTTTTTTTTTTTTGA